GATTAGCAAGTTTTCAGTATTATTGTTTGAGGGTTTGCATACCATGGGATTAAAGCATTCCAAATGGCCCTCCATCATGTGCATGGCTCTAGCACACATGTAAGAGAGGTTTAAAAGGCTAATCAGGGCAAAAGCAAGGCAAACACATGTATTAAAAATGGAAAACAAATCAAAGGGAGACAACGCTCTAAAGGGCATGGTAGCTGGCTGGCAACACTGTGTAGCCATAGGAATGATGAATGCCATAAGGTTTTAAATGTGTTGTTATAGCCTGTTTCAAGTCCACATGCATCAGCCTTACGTAGGTTGCTGGAAGCGCCCTTCTCCTCCGTCGTGTGTCCGATACGGCCAGCTGCGCTGAATTCAGTGCAATTCATGGAATTCAGAATGGTTTGGATGCGGAATTCAGCTGGGTTTGGACCAAGCAGACACAATCACTTTCTGCAGTTCTTTGCTATGAAGTGGATCTGAGCTGCGGTGAGAAATCGAGTGATGTGTGAAAACCGTCCCACCTCAAGCACACCCCGATGCCTGGTGGTATTTTTTTGGTCTTGCTGCCGCTTTCCCCTCCCTTCCTCACACTTTATTGATCTTTTCATTCGAGGTTTTTATTTTGTATGCCAGGATTTCCTGGATTACACGCTCAGTTTGCAATACCTAGAAGTCCTCGTCAATACGCACCTCAGAGCCGATCCTGGTCCTTAAGGAGCAGGTAAAGTAAGTCCCATGACGTTGCCATCCAAAAGTCTTGCCACTGCTGAGCTCTCCACTCTTTGTCTGGCACAGGTGCATGTCCTGTAAAAAAAAACTTTAAAAAAAGGAAAAGAAGAATCTGATAGCAACATAATTAATTGTGTATGCTCTATTTAGACTACTCTACCTAGACGTGCCATCAGTTTCCAAACTTAGTATCCGTCGAAGCTAGAAAAAAAATCTGAGGCTGTGGAAAACACCATGGTTTAGCTTTCAAACTACCAATGGTGCAAAAGAAGAGCATTATAATGTAAGCACAATATTTTATTATGTAAATGGTATACTACTCTTTTTTCCTAAGGAGTCTCTAACCAGTACTTTAAAATCAAAATTAAGAGGCAAATAAGTTTTTGAAGCAGCAGCAACCCCCGTCTTTCATCGCTCACGCTCATCAGCATCGTAGGAGCTATCTGTTAACTTTGTGTCAGTCATCAACATCCTCTGTCTCCGGAAAAAAGGAATACTTTAGAAATCAATAAAAATGGCCATCTTAGACCAAAGAGGGGAGGGTCTAAAACGAACGCACTGACGGTTAAGATACAGCTATTCTATCCTGTTACCAAGTTCGACAATTCTTTTTCAGCCTGTGCCTCTGTACATTGTTTTATTGACCCATTCAGAAAACAGCGACCCTTTACGCTAGCCAGGGAGCTCGTGCCAAAATTAAAAATAACGGGTTTACTATGTTCTATCTCTTGGGAAACATGTTCCTGAGCATGCGACATTCCAGATGAATACCTGATCTGATATTAAATACTATATTGGGGACCTTCAGACTAAGGCGAGAGATGCAAATAAGAGAAATTATCCTGAAAGATAATCAGCCTCCCTCACTAATTATGCCAGTTTGCAGAAAAAGCCGTATGGGCTTTGGAGAGCATTCCTCGCTGTATGAATGCAAATATCTAGCGCCATTTCTGACGCTCAGTGGTTCTTGAGACTCAGCTTTCACACTTGGCTGCAATTCTCCGACTCTTCACTACGAGCCCTGGGCTAGCTTAGGTAGTTAATGCTTCAGATACGCGCCTAGCACGCTTATTTTTTTGAGAGACAACAATTAGTAGGATCTTCACGCGCAAAAATATATAAACATGAGAAAACCCTGCAGAAACTAACGCCCCGACATCACAAGTCAAAGATGCCCCCCGAGCAAGCTTACTTAGATGGCACGAAGACGCCAAGGCCAAACTGCAGGGAGGCATCTCACCCGGTGCCCCAGAAGGTCCCGTATATCCCACTGGTGGAGTAATGCTGCCACCTACGGTGAAGGTGAACGGAAGAGGCTCGTTTCATTTTTTTCATTCATTTCATACCAGGCCTCCCATTTGCAAGAATTACCGCCTGTCTTCATCTTTTTCTTTTTATTTTTTCCTATTAACAGCACTTTCTTCCTAAATATCTGCTACTGATCAGCGCTGGAGACAGGGTGCGGGCAGAGGTGGGCTTTCAGCCTGTCCAAATACAGCTGTTCGTACATTTTGATCTCTAATCTACTCCAGTGTACAGCAATGCACAGAACTCGACTGCCTGCCGCTGTTGGCTCAAAGGCTGGGTCAGAACTAGAACCCCGTTTCAGCAGCCGAGGGAGGCAGAGGCCGCGGGGAGAG